TACCCAGCATAGCAAAAAGTAGATGAATAGCTCAGAGAAGTTACAATAATCAGTTTACATTATAAAAGGCCGTGACACATGGAGAAAAAGAGGAAAATAAATTAAATTTGGGAGAATAGGTGGTTTTCACGTTACGTCATCATCGCCATGCTGTTGGATGGTAAACAAAAGATCGCTCATTAGCTCGCTTTGTTTGTCCACCAGCATTTGTTCGTTTCACCATTGTTATTTGTGTCTCCCGGGATTGCATGAAAACCAGCTATAGAAAATTTACAGTCTCAAAGAATCTTGTTCTTTTATAGCAGAGATATTTAATTTTTACAGAATTCAAGAACTCATCATCTTGCTCAGTTTGAACATAATTATAGCCATTACCACATGCATGCATTACTCATATTTGACAATTATTATTGGATGATGCTGAACATGATATGAAGGATTGTGCAGATCAGGGAAGGTTGTTATTCGCCCTAGTCGTCGGAGATCTGCATAATCTTTAATATCATATGAAAGTCCAATTCACTTTAACTTCTTTTCACTCTATTTTTAAAATGTTAATTTCATTATATTTTTGTTAATTGATTGCTTGTTCCCTCCAGCAGATGTTCTTAAAATAGCAGTTGTAATCTGTCATAAGTGTTATTTTTGCTAATGCATTTGACAGTAGGTTGGTTATTTCTTCTTGGCTTATTGTGTAAAATCTTCTGCCATTTTCTCTAGCTCTGTCAAAAACAGCTGAGCTACCACTCCTTTCTGTCAACATCAAAATTGATATTGGCAAGCATCTTCCAAATTTTGTTAATAATTTATTCTAACAGCACAATAACTGGTTATGAAGAATAAGTGGGGGACTACTCAGAACAGGGATAACAGTTAATAACAATCTAATAAATGTTATTTTATTGTCTCCAAAAAGAAGCTGAATGTGGAGGTAGCACTTTCCAAAAATAAGAGGGCAAATAGTCTCCTTAGAGCTGGAGTCATGCAATGCTCCCTGGAACATTGCGTGACTCCAGCCTGAGACTAGAGAGCACCTGGCCTCAAAATAATTTATCTTGGCCTTGGGGAAGGTGGTGTTCAGGTTGGCTTTAAAATAAGGCACTGGATCCCCACCCCTTGGCCTCCCCCCTTGATCTGCCACAGCCTTGTGCAAGGTTTTAAGGGGGCAAGCAAGGCATTTTATGCATGGGCAACTTAAAAGTGCTAAGTAGACACAAATAAGAACATGTTATGAAGGCTATATGAGAAGAGAGAGACACCCAGGGAGCAATGTTAATTTCCTGTGAAGTACAATGTAAGATAACCCTGGGTTATCTTAATCCCACTTTGAACAACCCGGTACTTAAGAGGGAATGGGGGCTTAAACCTATAAAAGTCTGGGCCAGAAAGCTGTAATATTTTATTGTCTTGTCACTTAAGCATGAAAAAAAATCTTGACTGTAAGTTCCTGACAGAACCTCTTACCTCCCTAGCACAAGGCAGGGTAGTAACCTACTGAGCTTCTGAAAGAGTCACAGGCTAATTACTAGGTACACAGATTTGTGATTTACGTATTGAAATTCTATTCTGCTGATATCCGCAATGCGGAAAGCTTACTTTATGGTGATGGAAAAAAGAGCACAAAAAGATGGCCAGTTTGTAGCCTGTTCCATGGGTCAAATATTGTCAAATATTAACAGTATTGGAGAGTGGCATTTTGTCTGGTCATTTCTCTTTGCGCCGTCCTCAATAGCCTGTGCCGCCCAAAGGGCTCGTGATTTTGAAGCTCCTGATTTAGAACGGGGTATCCATTTCAGAGGCGTTTCCTGGAACGGGGTATAATATTTCGAACGCACGAAAGCTCCACTTTTGTAAGCAACCATTTGAAAGTATTCAAGGACAGATTGCTTTTAAAAATACGGTTCAATGCGTTAACAAGCAAACTGTTGTACTCCTGTCGCACCCTAGAACGGAGTATAAAAAATTGGCTTATTTCTAGAACGGGGTATCAGTTTTAGGGCGAATTCTAGAACGGGGTATAAAAAATTGGCCCATTTTTAGAAAGGGGTATCAATTTTAGGGGAAATTTTTTCTAGAACGGGGTGCCAGTTTGGAGTCTCGGGCGGAACATACCCACCCAAAAAATAGCCAAGTGCCCCCTCCCTCTCCCCCCCCCCCGGGGAACGGGCTCACCTGTGCAGGTTCGGCAAAGCTGGCGAAGAAGAGTCCTTGGGCGCTGACGGCTCCGCTGCAATAAAAATTTTCCCGAACTCGCACAAGTGAACCTGCCCCTGCGTCTGTACTATTCTAACGCCTGGAACACGCTCGCAAACTTTAAGATAATAACCCATCGTTTTGTTTGCGTGAGAACAATTTTGCGTGAGACCGTTGAAAAGGAAAGCATCTTGATGACGTCGCATTTACGCTCGGGCCTTTGAGCTGAAAGGTGATCAGACACGCCTGATTTGAACTGAAAGAAATAAAGCTTTCTATTTGAACGCGCAATATCTAATGTCGAGGTTTCTCACGCGAGCACTTTGTTAAGTGAAGCGCAAACTCAATCATAGCTTTGCTAGCAATTTAGATTGCAATTCCTTCCTACACGCTGACCTAACACGTGACCTTAGCTCACAGAACGGCGAATGGAAATGCCCCTGTACATGTGCGCGTAGACTCTTTAATAGATCCAATGAGCCAAAAAAAACTTAAATGACAAATTACAAAAAAGTGAGGCAAAAACTAGGTAATTTATATTCCTTGTTCGATAAAGTATCGGGGGCACCCAACGTCAATTTTTGGAATTAAATATCTGTTCGGAAGACGATTTGAGATCTAGAATTTTCGGAACATTTGTTGTAAAATTTCTTGCTTGCCTGCCTCTAGTAGGATTTTCGAACATCTAAAACTGGTATAATTGCCCATTTTTAACGGATTCTTACCCTAAAAAGGTCACCTAGAATTTTCGGGAGCCTTTTTCCTGGCTGAAATTTCGAAAAGGTAAGGTTTGACCCCTATAACTTTCGGATCACTAGACTTTCAGCTAGGAAATCCGAACAGATGAAAAATTTTTAGGGGAAAAATATGCCTATATCTAATATTTAAATACTAAAATACGTTCAACGATGCTATGTTTGAGTGGTTTTGAACTATATTCTGATTCGTACCGTGAAGCCAACCATACCACGCGTCACGTGGCTCAGAACGCATGTTTCCCTGGGCCGTTCTCCAGCAACGGCAGCGTATTTGTCACTTCGCCGCGTTCTTTCATTAAAACTTTATCTCATATCTCGCTCAATTTTTCAAATGCCAGGAGCTCCCGCAAATTGTGTTGGCGAATTTTCAGGAGCTGAATTCTTGCGACTGTAGCCAAGTTAACGAAGAAAAAGAAAAATTCGTCGTGTGTGTCAAGGTCTGTTATTAAACGTCCTCCGTAACCGACGTCGAATAGAAAGTTCACGTCATAGTTGCCCAGTTGCAGTGAATAAAATACCAAAACCTTTGATGCACATGCAGAATTGTGTTTTTTTTGTTGTCGCCGTCATAATGTCTTTAACTCACTCTTTTCGTAGTGAACAAGTCCCTTGGCACAAGACTGACCTGAACGATTTCCTTTTGTTGCAGCTTGGGTCGGCTCCATTGCCCAGTTCTGCCTCTTCTTCTTCTGCTATCCCGGCAGCCTCCTCAGCGAGCGTTTCGGATGCAGACGAGTGGTCATATTCGGAGGACTGTTCACGAGTGTCGGCCTTTTGCTGTCCTCCTTTGCTAACAGTCTATACGTCATTTACGTTACACATGGTGTCATTGTAGGCTTCGGCACGAGCATTAGCTACCTTCCAGCTCTGGTTATGGTGGCTTATTATTTCGACAAAAAACGCTCGTTTGCAACAGGAATCGCGGCCTCTGGGAGCAACTTAGGAGCCCTTGGATTAGCACCTTTACAGCAATTAATCGTAGATTCTTTTGGTTGGAGAAACTGCTATCGATTTCTAAGCGGCTTAGCGTTGATTATTAGTATATGCGGGTTATTATTTAAGCCTCTGGAAGAAAAAAAGACAGCTGAATACAATCTTGAGAAGGACTCACAAGTCATCGAGGATAAATCGTCCAAGAAAAAGGCTCCTCGCTTTCCAAGAAATAACTGGTTTATTATATGGGCTGTAGCGAGCACTGTTGCAACGTTCGGATATTTCATACCTCATGTTCACTTGGTAAGGTACCATGCATGTTAGAGCGATTTCTGTATGACCTTGAAAAATGGTTTCGGTAGGTGTTCGTTATTTGTTTTATCAGCCAATGGATGAAAAGATCAAAACATGGTCTCTTCGTTTTCCCGCCAAAGAAAACCCAAATATGGAGAAGGCATTGTTCGATTCGTCAATCGTGTTGCAGTGTGACGTCAAAGCGAAGTATCGGTTGATTTCTAGAGAGTTCTCGGGCAACCAAAAGCCACGCGCGTTTGTGTCCATTCGATAGCCCAATCATATCCCTCTATTTCCGTTCGTTTGTTGTTTCTGTTTTGTTCGCGCGTTTTCATTTCAAGGTCATACGAAAATCGCTCTAAGCTACGGTAAAACGTGCAACAAAAACGTGCAACTAAAAGCGATGTTGCGCGTTTTACCTCCCACGTCCAAACCTGTCTTGCAGCATATCAGGTGGTTGTGAGTTGTGTCAATACTGACTTCTGGTTGGATAAAATTACGCGGCAGTCAGCCCGCAACATGAACTGATTTTGTAGACCTACTCTCTACGTTCTGCAACAACTTTTCGCAACCTGCAGCAAGCTGATTTGTTGCAAGATAGGTTTGATTCGTGGGTGGTAAAACGCGCAATATCGCTATTTAACTCATTTGGCAGCAACGTCGACGCAAAACAAGTGGCACGTTCTTGTTGCCCGTTTTACCATACGTCGATGTGTGGCAACTGTTTAACTAGTTACAGTCGACGCAAATGGGGTTGCAGTGGTGGTAGCACTCTCTTCACGCCAATGAGGCCTAGGTTCGTGTCCCGAGGGTGACGCCTCTTGTCAATTTACCACAGAGGTTTCCGCTGTCTTCAGTTTATTCATGTTTTAAACGTAGACAGGAGGGTTATAGGCTCATGATGAAGGCGAATTTTCCTAGCGTATACTGAATTGTACGTGTAAGAGGGCCGCAACCAAGTTCAAAAGGGAAACTGGAAAATTTGTTGCCCTATGTTCATGTCGTTTATAAGTTGTCGCAGATGTAAATCTTCTCTCCTTCTCGAAATTGAGGCTGAGCACTGATACGTTTTTTTCCTTTAGGTCCGTGTTGCAGAAGAGATGGGTTCTTCACATCGGGATGGTTCGCTTCTTCTTTCCTACATCGGGATTGGTTCGGGGATCGGAAAGATCTTCTTCGGAAAAATTTCGGACCTTCCGTGGGTAGATACTTTACGATTGTACAATATTTGCATGGTTCTTTCTGGACTATCGCCACTTCTTGCTCTACTGGCAGTTGGATACAATATGCTGGTCATATATGCAGTAGTGTTGGGACTGCTGGACGGTTGTTTTATCGGACTCATGTCCATTGTGACGTTTGAATGCGCAGATCGTCACAGAATATCGGAAGCCTGGGGTGGAGTTCTTATGATTATGTCATTCTCTATGTTAATCGGCGCCCCAGCGGCAGGTGAGACAAAGTTTGGCTAAAAACTAGGTCAGCCGGATTATCCAGTTTAGACTAGTATTCGAACCTGTTTGTCGAGTTTTCAGGGAGACTATTTCTTGAGCGGTTTTATCTAAATCCCCATTTATTCTGTTAAGACCTGTTTTACTTAGGTTTAGCGAAATGGCAGCGAAAAGGCTGGATTTAAAAATAATTCAAGTAGGCTTCGACCACGTGTACTTTTATTGTTTTGTCTACATTCAGCCATGAAGACGTGTACATAGAATGACTAAGCAATCTAGTTGTAAATTTTGTGACTGTGGACGAAATTTAGTCTCTCCCCTTGATGTTTTCCCTTAGCCTGAGAAAACAACCGACATTTCGCGACGCAACCACTGGTTTCCCCCGAAATGACGTCTGAAGAACGGGCGCAGAAATTCCATATTGACGACGCTCTAGCCAGATAAGGGTATCGCCTCTGATTGGTCGTGCCAGGGCGGAAACTTGCTTCAACCAATCAAAAGCACCACCCAGATCTAAGTAGTGACACGTCATCAGACGTCATTTCGCGAGGAAACCGGTGGTTGTGTTGCGAAGTGTGAACCGTTCTCTCAGTGTACTCTGCGCTAATGATCAAGAAATCTCTCTCGGTTTCTATTTTTGTATGCACGCTTGACGATCTCTAAAAAAAGAGGTCTGTGAACAGATTAGACGAAATTCTCAGGTGTTCCATGGCTATTCAAATGCAAAATTCTGAGCAGTACTTTCCAGTGGTTCTGGCGGTTCTTTTATGCTGTACTAGGTGGTTCCAACTTAAAGTCTGTGGATGAAATCCTACGGTGTGATCATTCAAATGAAAGCTACTGAGCAGTACTTTCCTGTGGTACTGTTTATTATGCTGTACTAGGTGGTTCTAACTTTTGAGTCTGTGGATGAAATCCTATGGTGTGGCCATTCAAATGAAAGCTACTGAGCAGTACCTTCCTGTGGTACTGTTTATTATGCTGTACAAGGTGGTTCTAACTTTTGAGTCTGTGGATGAAATCCTATGGTGACACCATTCAAAAGAAAGCTACTGAGCATTACTTTCCTGTGATACTGTTTATTATGCTGTACAAGGTGGTTCTAACTTTTGAGTCTGTGGATGAAATCCTATGGTGTGACCATTCAAATGAAAGCTACTGAGCAGTACTTTCCTGTGGTACTGTTTATTATGCTGTACTAGGTGGTTCTAACTTTTGAGTGTGTGGATGAAATCCTATGGTGTGACCATTCAAATGAAACCTTTTTGGCAAAAATACTTTATCAAAGCATCAAATTTTCAGTCTAAAATGATATCTGGAGCTTGTTTGGAATTTTGCCCTCGGCTTAATTTCTCCGTCTTATATTTATTTCCTACAGGTTGGTTTGGAGAAGTAACCGGAAACTATCGGAACTTATTTTTCCTCGCTGGTGCTCCGACGATTTTAGGCGCGTTTATCTTTTCATTGGTTCATTGTATCAAGGACCCTGTGATCGCCAGGCAGCAGAAACGAGCTGTTGTCATTCCAAACCACGAAAAAGAAATTATGCTCGTCTACGAGAGGTTGACGGTTGTGTAAGATCAATGAGAGCACGGGCGGATCGAGGATTCTTTTTAGGAGCGGGTGCACTCGTCTCTTGCTCTACTTCAACACCAATAAACCACATAGTGTTTTTTTTTTGGGGGGGGGAGGGGGGGCAGGATGCCAGTTGTATAGGAAAACCGCAGGTCATCTCAGGGGCGCACCCCCTGCACCCTCACCCTAGATCCGCCCCTGGAGAGTAGAGACCTTTAGATTCTAAGACGAGAGTACTACAAGGATGACGAAAGTTTCTCAATACTAAGTAGTACGCGCGCGTGAAACCGCTTCATTTTGGCGGGAAAATGCGAGAATCGTCGTCATTCTTCTACGGGTTTTAGCCAAAATGTCGTACTGGCGGAAACAAGTTTCAAGTTTCGCATTTTGCGTTCGGGAGTGGGCTTAACCTTCTTCAATAAAAATAACCGAGTTAACTCTTCTGGTAAAAAAAAGTCAAAAATTTTAAAAGCTTCCCGGGGTGTCTATTTTTCGAGAATACGCGAAAAATGAAAAAGTCAAATCTTGTCCTGAAAACCTAACCTAAAAGTCTCTAGTGTTATCGGTTAACCCTTTAAGCCCCAGTATCCACATACAAGTTCTCCAAACTGATCTCCATACATTTCCTTAAAGAATGAGTTGAGAGAATTTGATAACAGATCAAGGCATTTTTTCTTGGGTGATCAATTTATTAATTCTCATAACTTATCTGTTGACAGTGTATAGATATTGTTAGGAGAAAATTGATCTTGGTCACTATTGGCACTTAAAGGGTTAATACAGTAATTGCTAGATAACTGTATTAAACGGTAACTTTCTATTAGTCCAGCATAAAAGTACTCTATTTGTACCATAGTGTCTTTTGCATGTTTTTCATCCCACAAATTAATATCGTACCCAGATCTCTCTCTCTTTACCGTTGTGGGCAAGAGGACTGGGTACGATTACCAACAAATAAAAGCACGTGCACGGGAACGATCCAACATCGCTCAAATTAGGGCCTGTTTACATGGTGGTGGGGGACCCCCAGATAGGTGAGGTAAAATGTGGAGAGTCACCTCACCTAACATGTAAACGTGATGAAATTAAAATGAAAGATTATATGGACAGGCGGGTTACCCCACCTAAGCGGGTTACCTCATCTACCAGGGGTCCCCCACCTCCATGTAAACACGCCCTTAATCTGTACATTTGTGTAACTTCTGATGAAGTATTTGAAAATCCCAAAAATGTAAAGTAGTTTTCAACTACGAATTACTTAATGTCCGTGTTTTACAGTCAGGTGTAAATACTTTTTGGAACATATTTTGCCGTTGATAGCGATATAATTACTTTTTTAAAATACTTTATTATGGGCATGCTTAAATCGATCTACATCTATATCTAGGGAAAAGTCAGGGAATTTCACTTCGATTCACCCATCACTGCAAGACATATTGATAAAATTCAAAAATAAATGAATAAAAAAATTGAAAATTGGAAAAAAAAACAACAACAACAATCAATTTAGTAAATGTCAAAAAATTGATAAAGGTGTATTTAAATTTGTTGACAAAACTTAGATCAAGGTGAAAATAAAGAGGTAAAAATTTTTTCAAGGTCAATAAAGGAAATTATGTAACGCAAACGAAAGTGTTGTGTACGTGTCCTTATTTAAGGAGTGGTAGGCATTTGAATGGGACGGGATGGGGAGATAAGGCTTAGGCAAAACGTAGAACTTTTCATGAGACAAACCAAACTCTAATTTAGGTCGACCTAAATTAAGTTAAGATCGTCTGTTGGGTCAGAAGTCGAACTGAGGACGCGTCGAACCAATCAGCTGAATCAGATCAGCAATTTTCTCCCGCACGAGGCTTTATATACATTGTCATTTAATTTTTTAATTTATTAGTTTAGTTCGTCGCATGTGAAGATCGACGTTTGTCCCGGAGACGGATAGAACGTGTTGAACGATCCAAACTCATTCAGACCAACTTTACGGAGCCAGGCGTCGAACTTTTCACGAACTTAACTCACTAAGTTTGCTTCGTTTCATGAAAAGTTCGACGTTTGACCTAGTGCTAATGTCCCACATAACCTGCGACGTAGAAGTCGAAAATTGGAAGTGTTGGAAAGGAGGATGGGTGGAGGATTCTTAAGCGTGCGTGGCCGTCGGGGTTGTTTGGTGAAGCGCGCGGGGAAGCTACCGGGAGAAAGGGGCGGAAATTAACTTTGAGTCCGTGGAGGAAATCCGGCATTTCTTACATATGTTAAATAGTTATTGCGCGCATATGGTATCAATTATTTTTTAGTGGTTCTGAATCATTGAAAATTAGAGGTTTTTTGGAATTACGCATTTGTGTTTTAAGATCTCAACACTGTTGCGTCCTCAAAGCGATCCAGTTTGGAAAAGTCGCTGTTTTTTTTCTTTTTTTTTTCTTTACCAAGGGCAGTTGTCGAAACCTTTCTGCTTTTTTTTAGCTGTGTTGATTGTTTTTGTTGTTGTTGTTGTCTCAGTTGTTTGTTGGACTATGATAATGACCGATAGGGCCCTGGGGACTAAGTCGTCCCCAGGGTTAAGTGATAGTTCACGTCCAACATGGCGGTAAAAAGTGAGAAGGTTTTTGGAAGCCGCGCGTCGCGGAAACAGGGTCGAAGGACGGCCAAATGAATATCTCTCAACTGCCGCTTGAATTAATAGATGAGATTTTGAAACATCTAGATTCGATTTCGCTCGTTAAATCACGAGAAGTCTGTCGATCATGGCGTGCTTTGCACTTCCAACGAAAGTACAATTTGGTTTGGAGATGCCTCTGT